TCTCTCTCCTCTCCTCCTCCTCCTCCTCTCTCTCTCTCTCTCTCTCTCTCTCTCTCTCTCTCTCTCTCTTCGAGAATCCCGTTAGTCCTTTCTCAGGGATCGACGATATAAGGACCGGTTTATCTTTACTACCCTGGCACCAGACGTTTCTCCGCGTAGAACTCGATTAAACTTCCATTGCAACTTTTACGAGACAGTATCGGAGGCTTAGGGTTGTATACGATCGCTAACCGTAACTATTCCCCATCGGGCGCAAGTTCCAGAGAAGTAATAATAAATTGAAAAATTATCCATCGATCTCCAAAAGGACACACGCAAGACAGGACGCGCAAGATTCACCAATTAAAAACAAATTCGATAAGAATCCAGAGTCACGACGCTTTCTCGACAAGTGCTTTAAATAATAGACGTAAACGAAAATGACGTAATTGAAACTCGAGGCGTGTGAAAACGAGTGCCACGGCGTGGCGCTTCAGGATCGAAAAATGACGGAGAAATAAATGAAATATTTAAAAGCTTAAGCCGTCAAAACAGCGCGCGCGCGCGCGCTGCACTCCGGCATCATAAATCTTCCTCAACTAAATTGTCAAAAGCCTTAGCCTGCAGTTCATCCACAGAACTGGATGAATTTACGAGAGTTTCTTAAGCTCGTTGCAATAGGACTCCGTGTCGCTTATGTGTGCTCACACATGACATGTGTGCTCGCCGTACGTGCCACCGCGACTTCCATAAATCTTCCTTTATAGTCTGGTCGAAGCCGCGGCCAATTACACGAAAAATGGAAACTGTAAATGCGCGTCGAGTGCGATACCCGCGCGCATCGCGCTCTCGACGTGGACGTTTTACGTCCCGATTAAAAATTAGAGATAGCCTTCGCGATTATGACGAGAACACGAGAAGAATGGAAGAATTCGAAGTGGAAAACGCGATAGAACAAAAGTGTTAGCGCAACGAGGTAAAATTTTACATCTGTATTTCTTCTCTTTCCTTCGACGGCTTTCCAGCTTTAATTCACAGAACTCTTGGCCTGCGTCCTAATGCACACGAGATGTAAAATGAAATCGTCAGTTTATTACGAACGATATAGAACTCCTCTGTAAAAATCTCCGAGTGCAAAATACGGGCGAGGGGAAGTGGAGCGGAGGGATACCTTTTCAACACGCGACAGCCGCGTAATCGCGTACAAAAGCCACGCTAATAGTCCTGAGTGTGTACAACTTTATTTAGCGTCTCTCTTCTCTTTCTTTCTTTCTTTTTTTTTTTTTTCATCTTGAGCGTCCCTCGGAAGGGTCCCTCGGGGAGAAATTCAGGGCTCCGACGTGACCGCTTTCCGCGAATCTCCCCGACACGCGCGCCGCGCTTCCGGAAAATCTGTCCGCGCTCGCGAGCACGCGAGTCGCAGCCGGCACGCACAATCGCGTGAGCGACGCGACGCGGACGGCGAGGGAGGAGCAAGAGGGGGAAAGGAGAAACGACGATCTCGAGATTTTCGCGCGGATAAGCGGACGCCTGCGAGATGCTGCGGCGTGTGCGTTTACGAGTTCGTTAAGCTCGCCGCCCGGCATTCGGCGATGTGTGCGCGCCGAGTTTCCTCGGCGAGAGAAGCTCATTTACGGTCCGACACCATACCCAGGCATAATAATACCACCACGTGGCGCAGAAACGTTCCTCGGGTTACGGGCTCGGTCACGGTGGTGTGTACCCTAGGCTGCCGGCTGATTAAACCGGGGTTTTACGGGCATTACCGTGCATCCCGCGCGCATCCCGGCAAAATACCTCATACGTACGCACACCCACCCACCCACACACACACACACACACACACACACACACACACACACACACACACACGTGCGCGCGCGCGCGAGTGTTTTAATGCATCTACACGCGTAAATATGCCTGTGTTACAACGGGAGTTGCCGCATGCCGCGCAAACGAGGCGACCGATCCGATTGTCGGAATGCCGCCACACTCTGTTCGTGTCGCGTTCGTGGCGCATCACAAAAGCGAAAGACGAAAGTTTTAGAATTAAAAGAGAGCGGTTAAATTTATCCGGCAGCAGTGGCTAATGGTTTAACCCTACGAGATCTGTTTTGTTAAAGAACTTCAAGTTGCGCAAAGAACCTCCAAATCTTACAATGGCTCTCGATCAAATTGGGCTCTCCAAATTTTAATATTTTGTAACTCATGTCAAGTTGATCAAAGAGTCCTCACGATTATAAACTTGCTTAAATTTTAATTTGATCGAGAGCCATTTTCCATAAGATTTGTCCGGAGTTCTTTGTTCGTAAAAACACAAATTTGCTGCCGAAACGAGATGGAGTCTACTTTTGATAGTAATACATTTCGCTGTTGCAACAAGACATTTTCTCTAGCAAATTCAATAATATTTTCAGCAAAAGAAATTAATATTAATGCCTTGCCAAATCTTTCTGCCGTCTGTATAATGACTAACGATGATTTGTGTAAAAAATATACCGTTTCTTCTTCCTCCGTGATCCGTAATTTCAATAGGAAAAAAAAATACATAAGTCGTGTTTCGCGAAAACATCCCAGTGCAAAAATATTTTAATGATAAACACACCATTAAAAAAACAGCCAATTAAAAGAGTAATCTTCAAGGTATATATTTTTTAACGCTGGAACGATACGTTAAGCGATATCAACATGATTCAAGTTCGCGATATAAGTCAACATCAGCCCTCGTGTACCAGGGGTCGGCTAAATAAGTTGGCGCCAGGCGAGAATTTAAAGATTAAGGGCTCGTGGAGCGTGGGCTGGGAGGAGGGGGGGAGGGGGGGAAGGGGGCGGGTACGCGGTCTTTCGCCCGCAGCTCCGTTTCGCACACCGGCGCACACCTGATCGCAACTCAGGACGGCGCAAGAAAGCAGTTTTGTTAATTAT